ACAAGAACGTAATTACCTGGGAAGTGTACTAACAGAGGACGGAAAGTGTGACAGTGAGATCCGAAGATGCATCGGGATAGCCAAAGATGCTAAGTAGAGTGTAAAAAAACAGAATATCTTCCTTAGAAACAAAGATTACTGAAGTGTTACATGATATCTGTCCTTCTATACGGCAGTGAATGCTGTACAATCTCCTCAGAAGCGAAGAAGAGACTTGAAACAACTTGTACTACAGAAGGCTGCTGAGGATACTACGTTCCGAGCAACGACAAAGTTTTAGAGAAAATCGAAACAAAAAAAGAGATTTATACTTAACATCAGGAAGAGGCAGTTGAAATTTCTGGAGCACATAATGAGGAAGGAGGGCTTGGAAAATCTGATACCCACATGGGCAGATAAGAGGACAAGAGGAACAGAGGAAAGCAGCGCGTAACATACTTGATGTGCGTAAGTAAATGGATGTCGGAACAGCGTTTAGGATAAATAACAAAAAGATCAAATTTATCAAGAGTTACAAATACAGGAAATCGTTGAGAGCCATGACCGCCTAGGTTTTGAAGGGACAAGGCATATGAAGGGAAGAGAACTTCTGGCTACAAAATGATAAAAACAATATATCTTTTGTATAATACTCATTAGAATGTGTAACATTTGCTCAAATTTTATCTGGTTCGTCTCTATTTTTTTTTAATCATTTCACCCCAAGCAAGGCAATAAAGACACTAAGACCCAATGGGTTACTGGGTATTGCAGAATATCAAATATATATATATATATATATATATGCATGTTTCATTAAAAACGACAGACAAGGTAGGTGTAATGTAAGACGTCTGGATAAACATGTGGTTGTGTAGCCGATGTAATTATTTATGAGTCCTAATAAAAAAATCAAACTTATTATCTATTATAAAAAAATTTAAAACGGCCAACCTTATCCTCAAAAATAACAACACACCAAGTCAAAATTACAAAGAACAAACATTATCTATGAGTTCAAATGCCCTTTGGTGAACTGCGTTCCTCACCAAACCGGACTCATAAATAATTACATCGGCTACACAACCACATGTTTATCCAGACGTCTTACATTACACCTATCTGATTACAGTTCCATCAGAACACATTTAAACACACACTCAGATTTACCCGCCACTATTAGGAACATACTAGTAGAAAACACTAATATATTAACTGCATCCACTTGCAAAAAAAAAGACTAAAAATAATGGAAGCTCTAATAATAAAAAGAAAAAGCCAATTCTTAACAATATTAACTATGAACAAAGCCACAATGTGCTAACCGTATTCGGAAACTAAAAAACATCACTACCACACCGAACCTACACAGAACACACACACTCTACTAAGCTGATATTGAATCATCCTTGATAATGGCTAAAAGATATAGCCGAAAGCGCTCGGAAATACAGAACATTCGGACAGTTCTTACACACTCATTGTCCAGAAAAGCTCTTGTCAGAACACAAGAAAAATTAAATAAAAGCTCAACCGTAGTACCTTGTCTGTCGTTTTTAATGAAACATGCATAAAGGAAGGATTGCTGCCTAAATATACAAATATATATATATATATATATATATATATATATATATATATATATATATATATATATCAAGATGAGAAAACAAGAAAAAAACATAAACTATGAAGACAAAAGATAATGATTGACATTACATTTACTTTATTGAAGATCAAAGTTGATTGGGAGGCCAAAAGCCGGAAGTGAGTTTCACAAGTGAGAAATTCGAGAAAAGAAACTGTTAGCATAGAACTTCATCTCGGTATTTTATCTGTAAAATGATGAGACCTAGCCGCCAATCTAGTACTGCACTTAAAGTTTAAAAGGTCTAGGTACCATAGAGGAAAGGGAATCCAAACAATTATCATGAAAGCATGTATAGAAAAAGGCTACGGGAAAGCTACGTTATGGCGGTAGGAAAGGAACTGAAGCTGAGATGCCAGGTCAGGACCAATAAAATTGCACATTCTTCTTTGGGTTTTATCAAGGATCTCTAAATATATAGCAGGAGCACCAGATTAAATGTAGCAGCAATATTCAAAGAAAAGGCGAATGGTAGATTTATAAATGTGCCAGATGGATTCTGATATGAAGAATTGTCTGGCACGATACAGTGAACCAACTTTCCTAACAGCAGACCTAACAATTGATTCAATGGAATCTTTCCGCGTCATGTCAGCGAAAGACATTAGTTCGAGAAGGCGCAATGAGTCATTCTCTTGGAGGTTAGCATCAGCCATACTGATGGAAGGTAAAAAGAGGATTAAATGAGAGCAGTTTTGTTTTTGAAGCGTTAAAATTAACACGCTATTCGTTGCCCCAGTTAATAGATTGTAGGTCATTTTTTGAGATCAGCAGCCAATTTAACGAACCGATCAGACTTACTATTAAGAAAAGATTAAATAGTTGTATTATGAGAATATATCCCGAGTTGAGAACTGATGACATCAGGAGAGACATTTTTGAAAATTATGAACTATGTCGGTCTGGGGAATATTAAATTAATGCAAATAAAATAAAATAAAATAAAATAAATAAATAAAAAAATAAAATAGTGACCATACACTATTTACATTGTTTGAACTATCTTCCTTAACTTTGTTGCCATATTAATCACAACGTTTCTGCCGCTGTACGCTCCGGCTTTCTTCAGCTGGTTGGAATGTCGAACTGAACCCTTTATTTCGCTCGCTGTTCTAGTTCCACCTGCCATGTCTAATGGATGTCAGTTATCAGTTATCTCCTGTTAATTCCCCTCTCCAAATTCGTGTGGCTCATTTCGTGTGTGCCCCCCCCCCCGCCAACACACACACACTTGAGATGGTCGTCGCCGCCAGCGGTGGTTACATTGAAAAATAATGTAGTATGTAACTCTAACTGTTGCTAAATAAACTGTCGGGTCTCTGCATATACAACTTTTGTTTTTATTGCCTATTTAGTTTTCTTTTTGTCAAGTGTCGGATTTTGCTTACAACACCCTGTACTTGCAAAGATATCTGGAGACTTTTTTGGGGAGAAAAGATTCTACACTACAGAAATGGGAATATAGTTCACGAATATTGAGGAAGGTTCGTAGGTTAGGTAATTTTTTTGACTAGTTTCTTCGGGTTACTTTTCATTATATTAGTCAATTTGTTTTAAGAAGGAAAAGGCCAAAATAATTTCCTATTGTCTATGGCAAAACAAATTGTCCAAAAGACGGCTGAGACTAAAGCATAATGTTTGTTATCGGGTCCCGGTGGTAATAATCAATCATTGCTTGATATGAAATAAAAGCTAAAATTTACACTAAGAATAAACACACCATTCAATGTAACTTTGAGTTTCATGCCCGTAGCAATTATCAGGCATAAATCAATAGTGTCCCCCACGCAAATTGGCATAATTTAAAATGTGAATATCTGAATAACTACATCTCCCAAGCAAACGAAATTAAATAGGCTTCATGTTGAACGATAAAGGATTTCCTTATCAAAATTCGAATAAGTTATTCAAAGGGATTTAGATTTTATAACTGATTTCACAAATTTTCAATATGCGTACCACCCGTGACACGACACACGTCAAGTCGGTAGTCCAGCTCCTACCAAACACACGGTAGCATGTCTTGCGTAACATTCACCAGCGCCTCGGTGATTCTACGCCCTAGGATTGTAGGAAGAGGGTAATATAAACCTGTCCTTTCACATAGCCGCATAAAAAAGTCATCAAGTGCCAAGTCAGTTAAACGCAGTAGCCATTTCAACCGAATATTGTTATTATCACAGGCAAAGCCTGATCCATCTTTCAGGTAGATTCTTATTGAGATAAGTCTTCACAGTCAACTGAGTTTTTAGACATTTTGTTAAAATTCGAGATCATTCAAGAGCGAGAATTGGTGATGTTTTTCGACGACAAAATGATGTCATTTTTTAGGACACCTTTTGGCATGGCTGACAGTTCGTTTCCGAGAAGTTCAATCTGCTAATTCCTGTTGCAGACGTTTAGTTTATACTGCAACTATGCCGAGCGTACATTAGTTACAATTTCTGGATAAAAGCACATAATCAGGCGTGATCAACAATTTGAACAAGGCCAGTATGATCGCGCCCTCGATTACGATGACTTGTGACTTCGTGCTAAAGCAACAAACAATAGATAGATAGGTAGATAGATAGTGAGAGAAAGAGAGATAGAAAAGGGAGAGAGAAACAGAGGTAGGGAGAGAGAATATATATATATATATATATATATATATATAATAATGCATGTCAGAGTGATTGTATTGGTCTAATGGGGAACTGACAACGTCTTAACTCGTGGATATATATATATATTATAATATATATATATATATATATATATATATATATATATAATGTATATAGAAAATAGGAAAGAACTCGTTAGGTAAATAATCCAAAGTTCTTTAGTATTTTTGTTATTATTTAAAAAATAGTGCTCTATACATAAAAAGGATTTATTTAAAAAATAGATTCTAATGCATAAATATATATTTATATTTAATAATATATATATTCTAATGTATATATATATATATATATATATATATATATATATATATATATATAAAACAGATGTCTAAACAATCGGCAATTCAATAACATTCATGTTGTTTTGCAGGAGACATTCATATTGATTGATTAATTTGTTTTTTTATGGTTTACCAACCTTTTGTACGTTATTTAAAGACGAAACATATTCTGGCGTTGTAAGAATAATACTTATTTTTTGCCAGTGAATACTCGATGAACAATTTCATGGAGACAATAGTAATTTTCAGGTACAAGTTTTACTATTTTAACTCATATATGGGGGGGGGAGACGAGATGGATCCATACGTTTCGCAGGCGTATTTGCGTGTAAGTGATTGTAATAAACCCGACTGGAATTCGAACTCGGCTTTCTTACTTTCTCATTCCGAACCCTTATTTGTTATACCACTTGCACATCCATGCATACAGCACCTTGAATTCCCAAGTGGTCACCCATCTACGTATTGACCAGGCTTGAGGTTGCTTAACTTCGCTGGTCGTACGGGAACCGGTATTTCAACATGATATAGTAAGCCTGGACCATTCAGAATTTATTTAGTCATTCTGGGATTTTTTTTAAATACTCACGTTCTGTGCAGCAAAATGTGACGGTAATCAGTAAAAAAAAGAATTTAATTTTTGGACTCAGCGCCACAAAATCAGTTCAGAAAGAGTGACGTGCTTTGAACCTCTCGGTCATGGAGGGCGCCGATTGCCAAAAAAAAATATGGATAGTGTCTTTAAACACACATCTTTCTCTGACTCTCGATATCTGTTCAGTTTTGTATCCTAACGTAAATCCACCCCCTTACTTTAAAAAGGGGATGAATTTTTTATTTATTAATCCGACAGATTTTTATTACTTAAAACATTATTTTTAGAGGAAACTCATATCTGAATAGACGCTTCGTTTATTTATTAAACAATACATTTATTTATCGGCAAAGGGTTGATAAAACGTAAAAAATAAATCAATAAACAACCAATACTACGTAAATGAATAATAGCCAACAGGTTATGATTGGTGGATGATTAACCAATGGAACTTCGTTTGTGGACAATGAACAATTCTATAGCCATTTTAACGTTACAATTTTTCCTGTATTTCGTATAAAACAAATTTCCGTTCTTTTCTTTTTTAATTCTTTTTTTTTTTTATATATTTTGACCTCCTGTATTTTGACCTCCTGAAATTTCACCTCTTGTAATTCGAAACTCAACGCTCTTTCTTTGTACTCTCTCATATGAGGAAACATAAGCTAATTATCTGGCTGCACGGACAGTGGTATGTGACCGTAGCTTGACCTCGTTTTTAGAAAAAAGACGTACCTACCACGTGATCCAGCGAGATTCTTTGGCTGTCGGGTCAGCAGCCAGCCGCCATCTTACCTCTCAAACATACTATCTCTGTCTTCCTCACACTGGAAGGAGAACTGCTTATCTCTTTTCTCAATTTTTCTAAATCTTTTTTGTCTCTTTCACCACCTTTATTTTTATGCCGCTTATTTTTTTTGTACATCCTAAATAATTTTTAACAGCCATCTTTGTACATTCTAAATCATTTTAACAGCCATCTTTGTACATCCAAAATCATTTTTAACAGCCATCTTTGTACATCCTAAATCATTTTTAACAGCCATCTTTGTACATTCTAAATCATTTTTAACCGCCATCTTTGTACATCCAAAATCATTTTTAACCGCTATCTTTGTACATCCTAAATCATTTTTAACAGCCAGCTTTGTGCCTGTTTTTAAAACCTCGCATTAGTTTCCCTTTTTCCACACCAATTCTTATTTTTTTCTCTTTGCTGAAAAAATTATGAATTCTACCAGGATTAATTAAGTACTGTATAGTGGCTCGGATTGAAAAATCGGAGAGCTGAGTTCGAATTCCAGTCGAATCCATTATATTCACTTACGTGTTAATACCCTTGGAAAAGGTATGAATCCTCTTCTTCTCCTCCCAGCTATGGGTAAATAGCAGGACAGATCGAGTTCTATAGCCTTGGATGGCAACTGGTCTACCGCAGAAAAAATGGCAACCTACTGCGGGAAAAAATCTGCCTCTATATCGAAAGATCCAAAACTGACTGAGTGATCCTTGGGAAAGGTATGAATCCTCTTCTCCTCCTCCCAGCTATGGGTAAATAGCAGGACAGACCGGGTTCTATAGCCTTGGATGGCAACTGGTCTACCGCAGAAAGAAATGGCAACCTACCTACTGCGGGAAAAAATCTGCCTCGTCAGTCATGTATCAAAAGATACATGATCGCCTAAGCGTGTATCACGCATGACACATAACTACTAAAATATGCAGAAGCGAGGGCAGTCGGTGCGAAGGCTCCGTGCATCCATATCTGGAGGGCATCTAAAGAGTAAAGTAAAAATTTAGTTTTTTGAAATTATAAATTCTCCTTGTTAACTTCCTTGTACAAGCGCCCTACAAGCTGCTGGGAATATGGATCCGTGTTTTGATAAACGAGCCTGGAGTAGCCCCCTACCTCCAAATTTGAGTCTTAGGGTCATACAATCAAGGAGTTGGCCCCGAGCATCACCGCGTCCTGGATATGACGATAAACAACATCCGCGTCCTGGGTATGACGATAAACTACATCCGTGTCCTGGGCAAGACGATAAACTACGTCCAACAGCAAGGCCTCTGATCAAGAGGTTTTGAGGAGCGTGGAACCACCTCTTAATTACTGGTGTTCCCAGGTCCACCCTGACTCAGGGTGGTAGTACCTGTTAGGGCCCCAGCTATGGGCAAATAGTTAACCCCGAAACGAGGGAAAAAGCATTATAAAATATTACCAGCAATACGTTTTTGAAGAAAAAAAAACTATTACCAGCAATACGTTTTTGGAAAAAACCATTGCTAGCAATACGTTTTTGGAAAAATAATATTACCAGCTCTACATGTTTGAAAAAAAATATTAAGAGAAATAGATTTTTGACAAAACAAAAATATTACGAGGAAAAAAAAATATGTAGCAAGGCGACTCTGAAAGAATTCGAAGACTTACCGGGGTCCATAATTGGCGGTCACAATCATAACAACATAAGATATGCAAATGACACAGTGTTGATAAACGACACAGAAAAAGAAACTGCAAGAACTCTTAAAGAAGGTAGTGAAGGAAAGAGAGAAGAAAGGACTAAACATCAATTGTAAAAAGACTAAATGTATGTTTGTTAGCAAAAGGAACAGTCTAACATGTAAATTGCAGGCTGGAGATCCCGAAATCACACAGGTGCGACAATTTAGATATCTGTGAAGCGTATTAACAGAAGACGGAAAGTGGGACACGGAAATACGAAAGTGAATTGGGATAGCGAAAGATGCCTTCCAAAAGCCGAGCAAAGTATTAAGAAACAGGAAAATATCGTTATAAACAAAGAAAAGAGTATTGAACTGTTTCATAATACCAATCCTCCAATAAGGCAATGAATGCTGGCCAATCTCCTCACAGATGAAGAAAAGCTTGAAGCAACAGAAACAGAAAAGAGTACTGAACTGTTTCATAATATCAATCCTGCTATAAGGCAATGAATGCTGGACAATCTCCTCACAGATGAAGAAGAAACTTGAAGCAAAAGAAACAAAGAAAAGAGTACTGAACTGTTAGAAGAATAGAATTTCCAAACAACTTCATAGGGAGATAAAATCGACAATTTCTATCGGAACCTTTAGCCATCGACAATGAGTTAAGCTAAGTGGCATCCCTGATCCAACTTTATTCTCTATTTTCTTTGCTGTTAATTTCACGTATCTCTTTCAGGATGGCGAAGTCGGTGCGTACATGCGTTTTGGGACAACGTGTGAAGTCTTTAATTTGACTCATTTCAAGGGTAAATCAAAGACTTTCCAGTCAGTTATAAGAGATTTACTCCATATTGACATGCTGGTCACGGCACCAGAAAGAATCCATTGCGTTCTATGTCGTCTTTGGTTCCCAACGCTACTACATAAAATGGTATCAACGAAAAGGACCATTTCTTTTTGTTATTTATTTTATTAGGAGATAGTGGGGGCAGTTTGGATTCTAAAAGGCAGCGGGAGGAATGACGTCATAGGAACGCATGTCGCACATTGCGTCATCGTCCCTCAGTGAGTGGTCTTAACCGGTCTCTCAACCTGGGTATGGGAGGTGTATCGACGCTTCAGAATTCTTGCTGCCTTCTGTTGAATTAACACCGCTTGCTACTTATATCCAAACTCCAGACAAAGGTAATCCATTACTGTCAGAATACCACGAGGCACTTCGGCCAATCGCTGACCATTCTCGCTTTGGCCATCGCATTCTATAACACAATGCAGGCCTCACTGCCTATACCAAAAAGAACAAGCAAACAAAAATGGACTATTTTTTTGCACTGTATTCGGGCTAACCATTAGAATAAAAAAGACTAAAGTTATGCTCACCCCCTCCAGGGTGATGCTATATCGAACTTAAAATTTTGTTCAGGATCAGAGGCTGGAGGTTGTTGATACCTTTGTCTACCTTGGAACTACTCTCGCTGGAGATGGTTCTTTGGATACCGAAAGCAATCGTAAATTGGGTGTGGTCAGACAGAGTCACCCCCCACTCGATACTAATATCAGTGTCTACTATGTGTGTGTCCTAATTGTTCTCTTGTATTCTTTGGAGACTGGACTAGATGCCGCCATCATATCAAAACTTTGAAAAGATTTCACCAAAAATGCTTTCGGCGAAAACATTAAGTGGTAATCTTTAACACAAGACACAATTGTTCTGTAACGAACCAAAACACTCAGCATAGAGAAAATGATTATTCACATTCAACTGAACTGGGCAAGATATTTCAGGAGGATGGGAGATCAGATATTGCCCAGGCGGAGAGCTCGCTCTTAGTAAGTAACTCAAGAAACGTTGTAAGGATGTTGTTAAGTACAACCTGAAAAATCTTGAAATTAGAGTCAAAAACTGGTTTGGTTTGTTTTACGGTATATCAACCTCAATGGGTTATTTAATGCCGACAAAATTTTTATTATTGGTAACTTTTTTCTTTCAAAAAATGTATAGCTAGTAATATTTTATTTTCAAATATATATTGCTGGTAATATTTTTTTACAAACTATTTCTGGCATTAAAACCTATTTTTACATTTTCATAGTGTTTTGACCCCAGTTTAGGTGTTAACTATTTGCCTATAGCTGGACCTAACAATTAAGAGGTAGTCCCACGCTCCTCAAAACATCATAATCAGAGGCCTTGCTGTTGGACGTAGTTTATCGTCTTACCCAGGACTGGTAAAACACTGGTTAAAAGAGGTAGAGTATAGTCTTGGTTGGAGAAAGTTATGTTTTGATGGGTGCTATCATTTTGAGGTCAAAAAGGTTGAGTATTTGAAGTTGAAAAGGGTTCTTAGGAAAGGTGACGCAGACTCGATCCCAGAAGATATTCAGTCTATGTAACGTCTGCGGAAAATGTCTTCTACTTTCGAAGATTATATGAAAAACGAGTCTAATGCCGACTATGTGAGTATCTTTATGGACAGACCT